TTTATAATTAAAAAAAGCTAAGAGTTTGTGTTTAGAAATAAAGTTAATAGACTTGATTATTGGTAGAGGCGCCTACTTTTATGAGATTTTCTCCGTCAAAAATTTCTAACCAACAATATTCTCCCACGTGGCTCTCACACCCGGGTGTGGGAATAACACTCGACTTACGTCTCTAAACTAACTATTCCCTTATTTTCTTATATTTTATTACTTACACCCAACGAGAAATTACTCCACTGTGGGTGGTCTTAGCTGTTAGGGAATAGTGCAAAGCTGTTAGCTGTTAGGGAATAGTGCAAAGCTGTACAAAAGAATAAAACACGAAAGCTGTACAAAAAAATAACGCAGAACAAATTTTAAAAATTTACTCTGATTGGAAACATCCTAGCAGTACACATAATAAATAATATTAAGAATTTAGAAAGACAAAAAATTACATAGAAATGTACTTTAGTATATAATTACATATGAAAATTAAGATTATATAGAATGAACAATATTTTATTGTTAGAATAATAATATGAATTTACTAGTCCTATAATAAATAAAAATTTTCTTCATTTTGGGCAATATAACATTCCAAAATAATTGTTTGAGAAAAAAACTATTATTTCTAATGATATTTTTTCATAGGCTGTATTATTTACTTTTTCAGAAATCTTTATCCGAACATTCGAGACTTTTTTTTTTGCATTATACATAGTTACAATTATATTTTATAAAGTTTAATTATGCGGTTAATAATACGGTTAACCGTGCGGCTAATCGTACGGTTAAATAACGGTTTTGATACGTTTCCGGTATATTAACGGTTACGGTTAGTATATTTTTTTTAACCGTAACTAATCTAGTTTTACGGTGAATGGTTATTGTTTTTAACCGTTTTATATAGTTACGGTTGAAAAACGGTCCAGTTATGATCCAAAATACGGTTACGGTTAGCTTTTGGTCCAGTTACGATCCAAAATACGGTTACGGTTACGGACCGTTTCTCAACCGTAACCGTATAAAACGGTTAAAAACCGTAACCGTTAACCGTAAAAAATAATTAGTTACAGTTAAAAAATAAATTAACTGTAACCGTTAATTAACGGTAAACATATGAAAACCGTTATTTAACCATATGGTTAACCGCATAGTTAAAACTTTAAAAATATAATTGTAACTCCATATAATGCAAAAACAATTATCGAATGTTCAGATTAAGATTTTCAAAAAAGTAAATGATACCGCATATGAAAAATCTACGTTATAAAAAATGGTATTTTTCTCAAACAAATATGTTATACTGTTATTTTGCTCGAAATGAAGAAAATTTGGTTTGTAACATACTTTTTGATTTTATGAAAAGTATTATAATAAGTTAGGTAACTCGTAAGATTTCGCCTCCGATATTAACCGTATTGTAGTCATTAAATAACTATAACCGTAATTATCCGTAACCGTATTTAACCGTAACCGTTATAATTGTATTTAAACGTAACCGTTATAACCGTATTTAATCGTAACCGTATTTAACCATAACCGTATTTAACCGTAACCGTTTTAATTTTTTTTTGTTTTTGTCAAAAAAAACTGTTTATGTTATAGTGTACCGCTTTTCATAAAGTTTTTGTGATTAGTAACTGTCAAAGCTGTAAAGCTTTAATTTTGTTCACCAATCAAAGCCTACAAAAATTGAATGTTTTACGACTTTTTTGGCCAACTTCTTCTATTCGTGTTACCTCGTATTATGAACTAGGTTAAAGTTACTTTTTCTAGTATATCTTTTTTTTTTTTCTTTGCTCGATTCTTTTAGAATCTTATACTCCATATGATTTCTATCGATACTCTATGGAGTGATCAAAATAATCTAGTGATTCTCCAAATTCTTATTAATCATACAACTTTATAATATTTGAATCATTTTAGATGATTCTTGATATTCGATAATTGATAAAAAAAAAAAAAAGACTTGTGTTTATTGGATAAAAAATGTGTTTATTTTATTGAACATGAAACGATATATGATGTAGTTATAAGATAGCGATTTTTAATTTGGATTAAGAAACAGAAACGGACTGAATTAGTGATTTTCTAATAAGAGATCATAATCTACTAAAGATATAAATAATTAAATTTATATACAATTAAAATAAAAGTTATTTCCCATAGTTTTTGTTAAGTCAAACTTTCTATTACATGTATTTCATTCATTTCACTTCTTCGATGTCATATTTAGTACTCATATTGCCTACTTTTTTGATAAAATTTGAAAATGTAGGTGAACAGGGAATTACATATATATATATATATATATTTATTTATTTATTTTCACATAGTTTAAAAGGTTTTTAAAATAAGAAAAATCTAACATGTACTATATATATTTGAAAGAGATTCCAATTAATACTAAATGCAGAAAGCCAGAAAAAGTTGTTGAAAAACATGTCTCAACATTTTAAAATGTGTCTATATGGTCCATCGAGTAACTAGGGTTTAAGACCATCATGGGGTCTAATGTAGTTCCAATTTGTTAGTCTAAATATACAGAAGAAACCTGCAAAACATCAGATCCTACGTTACATTATTTATTACATGGTGTTTGTAGTATCCTACAAAAAATATATATAATTACATGGACCGTATTCTATAGACCTATGGTTTTTATTATCTTGGTCTACAAAATAATATAAATTTGATAATATCGGACATACAAGGGAGCTCTCCCCAACAGAAGAGAGAATTGCTACTAGCTAGTAGCTACCCCAAATATATACATACATAAATGAACAGAATTAATAATATAGATTCTGAAAATGACTACTATTTTTTTCTTATAAATAGTAATAATAAAATAGTATTACTATAAATCTATAATATATAGTAGTCAGTCTTAATTAATATAAAACCAATTTGGTTATCTTTATAACTATGCAGCATGCAAGTAATAAATCTATTTATTTAGATTATTAGAATTAATGATTGTATAATAATGCAAATAGAGATATATAGATGTAGTAGCCAACAATCATTTGTGACAACATTAAGTAATTTGTGGAGATGAATTTTTTTTTTTTTTGGTTATTATGACTATTTTATATATTTTTTACAGTTATGTATTATCTACCCAATTATCCATATGAAAGATGGAATAGCACATTGCAAGTATTATCTCATATTTATTCTTTTTAAGATGTTTACTAAAGCATCTAATCAATATGTTTCATATATATTGTAAGGTGACAACTTGGAACCATAAAAGAATGGTGGAGGATAGCGAGTGCGTAGAAGATAAGGATCATTTTTACATGATAATCTTGGACAAGACATGCGCATATACATCAATTTTCCATCAAGAGGATTTATAAATAGATAATTTAGTACCCAAAAGAAAGAAAAACTAATATTCTATCGATGTATAGGTTGAACAAAATAACTAAGGTACCAAGTGAAATATGAGTCAGCAAGCAAAGTTAAAAAAAAAAGTTGTGTGAGACATATCACATGAGTAAATTAACAACAACCATCATCATCATGATGTAGATAGATGTAAGATGCCATGAGAAGAAGTGAGAAAAAAAAAACAATTTAACCTGTCAAATATTACCGAACCTTTTTCTTTAAGTGAAAAAAATATATATATTTGTATTAACCTGACAGTAAGCATCCTACGAAAAAGTTGAAAAATATTAGGATTTGAGAGCTTAACTGTTCATAAACAATTTCCATTTTTTTTTTTTATAACAATTTTCCTTTTTCTTGCCAAGATAAATCTGCAATCTTTGTTTCAAGCATCTACGAGCCATTGTTATAAGTAAATATAATATTTAGCTTGAAATCTAGAGTCGTTATGTGAATTTTATTAAAATATATACTGTACTTTTCGAAATCGATTAACAACTTTGATTAGACATAGTAAAATACATCAGTCTTCTTAAGAAGAAATCCTACACACGAAACCCTCTAATTAATGCTAGAGAAATTAGATATTGAATAAACCTTGTAAATAAAACTTCTGTTTAAATAGTAAATAGTACGTACAATTATAGCCGTTCGCCAGGATTCTACGCAGAGAATAAAGTGTCGCCAGGTCGTGGATCATTGAAGGTATTCATCAAGATTACGAAGAAGGAAGTGTAGTCTGTCGTGGATCTAGTAAGGGTCGGAAGGAATTGTCAGTTGTAGAATCGTCTATGTAACAGTTCTCATAATTTGCAATTAATAATAAATCCAGACGACAAAAAAAATAGTAAATAGTACTATATCAAATTAACTATTTCAGAGTGACATAATTTGTTTGTAACCGTATAGATCGGTTTTATGCATTAAAACGATCGTGAAGTAGCTGTCATACGAAAGAACTTGTCGGCAAGAGAAGCAAAGCAGAAAAAAAAAAAACATATCTTTTAGAAGCCTATCATTTTCTTACTTTGATTCACAAACACACACATTATAGTTGTTATCTACATAATCTAAACGTGTCAATACCTGAAAACAAAAAAAAACTTTATTTACTCTTCTTTCATTTCATGAACAATACATAACCAGATAATAGATAGGAGTTGGACTTGTGAATATGCTCTATTTAAGGCATCTTTATAGGTTATATTTAGAATCTTTTTCTTATTTCTTTTTTGAGCATATTATTAAACTATGGACTAGATCTGATGAAAGAAAGCAATCTATTTATATATTATGACAGAAGTATTATCTTTAAAATCCAATGGAGGAGAGTGAAAGAGAAAAGTTGAAGCATTTTGTTTGGACTAGAGAGAGAGAGAGAAAGATCTTAACTCTCCTTAGAAAAGTACTAGGAATCAATTTGTATTTTCTGCAAAAAAACAAAAAAAAAATATAAGAGAAAATTAATAATATATATATATTCCCTGATGAAGTAAGAATAAAATAATGTGGTATATATATATATATATCTGTATATATATATATATATATACAGATATATGTTTACAATTACTTTTTAGAATTTATGATATTTTATTTTGTTTTTTAAAAAAGGAAAGTTTATAAGATTGGATATAAGTTTGGAAGCTTTTATTTGGCCAAGAATGGCTTAGCATCTGCAAAACCAACACAAAGCTATATTCTCTAAAAAATCATTCCAACAAAAGAAGAACCTGAACACAGTTGGCCCACCACCACCACTACCACAATCTCCTCCTCCACCACCACCACCAGTCACCGGAAACTAATTCATGCCCTAGATTAAGAACAAGAATCTTTTTGAGACAAGATCTATAACACTCTACAGCTTCCACATTTACACTTATACACTTTATGTATATAAAGGTTCTTTTTCATCACTTGTGGGCTTAGTGATATAAAGGAAGAAACTTTTCTGTTGGGTTTGGTTTCTTGGTGAGAGAAGAGAGAAAAGAGAGGATGGGAAGAGGAAAAGTGGAGCTGAAGAGGATAGAGAACAAGATCAATAGACAAGTTACTTTTGCAAAGAGAAGGAATGGTTTGCTCAAGAAGGCTTATGAGCTTTCTGTGCTTTGTGATGCTGAGATTGCTCTTCTCATTTTCTCTAACCGTGGCAAGCTCTACGAATTCTGCAGCAGCCCTAGGTATAATCTGTAATCTTTGATCCACTTTTTCTTCCAAAGTTTCTATATTTTGATCCATTTTAGGGTTTTGATTCTTAAGGATTATGGAGGATATGAAAACTTTGCTGTCTTTCTTGATTTTGTTAAAATTAATTAATTAGTTGATTAGGGTTCATTTGTTTTGTGTGTTCTTAGTTTTATTATGCATAAATCTTGCTCGTAGATAGTGAGATAATTTAACAAAGGATGATCAAAGTACGTACAAAGGGTCTTAATTGCTCTAGATGATGATTAAAGCTAGAGACTATGGATGAAAAAAGTACATTAGATTTGTGTATATAAGCTATAAATATAGTTAAAGCTTTTACACATGAGATAGAGTGTTGTTGATATAGTTTCCAAAGGATTGATCCAAGTTTCCAAAGAGACAAAGAATTGACCTCTGGATATATACACAAAGCTGTAAAAGATATAAAAAAATACTTTGACTACTTCTTTAAGTTAGTATCTCTCTCAACTACTTATGATCTTATTAAAGTTAAAGAGACAACTGTGATGATATATACTCAATTTCACTACTTATCTTTTGCACATAAACAAAGTATTCTTCTTTTTGTTAAAAAAAAACAAATTCTTGCAAAAACATCATGAGATTGATACCCATCTTGATGTTCTTGGTTTTTATCATGCAGATTTTACAATGCTTTAAAGGTTTTTGTTTACCTTTTTGAAATATTCTCAAAATGAAATTCAAAGTTTGGTTGATAATATATGATAAAAATATGATCATTTGTTTGTATGGATAGTGGTATGGCGAAGACGGTTGACAAGTATAGAAAATATAGCTATGCAACAATGGATCCAAATCAATCAGCTAAAGACTTGCAGGTACATATCTTCTCTTTCAATAAATGGGATCAAAGACTGACCTTAAAGTTGTCCTTAATTTTATCTTGATTGGCAGGATAAGTACCAAGACTACTTGAAGCTTAAATCAAGAGTTGAGATCCTTCAACATTCACAAAGGTACTTAGCCTGATTCATTTATATGTAAATATGCTTACTCTTGTTATAAAAGATTTCTTCCTTTTAGGCATTTGCTAGGTGAAGAGCTAGCCGAGATGGATGTGAATGAGCTTGAGCAACTAGAACGCCAAGTAGATGCATCACTAAGACAAATAAGATCAACCAAGGTATATATAAGCTTACCAAATCCACAAATTTCTATTCGAATCTTTCATCCTTAATCATGGCGCGCTTTTTTCATTGCCAGGCTCGGACTATGCTTGATCAACTATCTGACCTCAAAACTAAGGTACATACTTTATACAATAAAAGTTACACAATGTCCATTAATAATCTCAATACAACACACTCTCATTTTCTCAATTTACAGGAGGAAATGTTATTGGAAACCAACAGAGATCTTAGGAGAAAGGTGGCTATTGGAATCTTTTATCGCAAGAAACTGAAACCTTTTGAGATCTCCTATAACATTCTTCTTTCTTTCTCAGTTGGATGAAAGTGATGCAGCACTTACTCAATCGTTTTGGGGAGGTTCTGCTGCAGAACATTCCCAACAGCAACATCAACAACAACAACAGCAACATCAACAACAACAAGGCATGAGCTCTTATCAATCAAACCCTCCAATTCAGGAAGCAGGTTTCTTCAAGCCTCTACAAGGCAATGTAGCATTGCAAATAAGGTATTCATAAACAAATAATCAAGAACCTTGAAGTGTTTTACCTTATACAATATGAAATATTTAACCTTTATAATTGTTTTTATATAATTAGCAGTCATTACAATCACAGTCCTGCTGCTGTGACAAATGCAAGCAACTCTGCAACAACATCACAGAATGTTAATGGATTCTTCCCTGGATGGATGGTCTGAAACAATACATATTTATATGTATACATATGTGTGTCCTCATTTGATTTTTGCCAGAGAAACATAGTTCATTATTACAAAACTTTGTTATATAATCAAGGCTATCATGTCAAACCCCAGATCATTACTTTTTTTTTTCTGCTCTCTTGAAATATATAACATTGTTACATTGTTTTGGGAGCTTTTTTTGTTTTATTTTTCGAATATCATATAAATTTGTCAGATTATGACAAAAATTCTCCGGATTAGAACATGCCTCAAGAATTGGATTCTGAAACAAGTAGTGCTCTGCATTTGTTTCAAGATTGTGATGTAATTAATTAAAACGACTAAATAATTATGAGAATTTTTGCCAGGTTGGATTAGATTGAACAAGTCCAAAATGTTGTTATTTAATCTTATTTTCATGGCAAGCACGTTCAAGAAATGGCTCCAACCAAAGCCAAACAAACAAAACAGTATTTAAAACACAACTAAAACTCTCAAAGAACAGAGAGAAGAAAACAAGAAACAGAGAGGAGGATTTTAGAAAAAATGGGGAAACCAGCTGGGTATTGGGTGAATAAGATTAGGACATCATTCAAAGGAGGATCATCGTCGAGCAAATCATTAGATGAAGGAAGTGCTTCTGGTTCAAGAAAGAACGGTTCGAAGCATAGTAAGAATCTGAAAGCAGAGGAAGCTAATAAGAGTGGTGAAGGAGGAGTTCAAGCTGAGAGTGGGAGGAAAGTGATGGTTGTTGTGGACACAACTTCACAAACTAAGAATGCTCTTCAATGGGCTTTAACACATTGTGTTCAAGATGAAGACAATATCACTCTCCTTCATGTCACAAGAACACCCGTAGGACAAGGTATATAACTATATATTTATACATTCTCATATGTTGCATTTACTCGAACCTTAAATTTAGAGGTAAACCATTAGAGCCAAAACTCGAAACCAGACTATATCTTGCTTAGTAAAACAAGGTGAAGACCGATTCTTTTGGGGTTTTAGGCTGATCGGGCCTCAGATTTTTCTTTGGGCTTTTATTGGGCCCAATTGTCTTTTGTATATTATTTTGATGTAATTTTAAAAATGTTTGGTCATAATTTGATTTTATTGAGTCCGGACTATAGCATACAATTTGACATCTATACCTTATTGAGTCTCTGTTAACAAATGTGTTTATTACATTTATAAGCTATAGATGAGACACAAAGGGAGAGAAACTCAAGGGCTCATGAACAAGTTCATCCATTGAAGAACTTTTGTCAACTCAAGAAACCTAACGTAAGCTTTAGGTTACAACAAATTGATATTGATTCAAAAATTCCCCTTCTTTGACAGTAGAGCTTACATGTGTGGGTTTTATTTTCAGGTCAAAACAGAGATAGTGGTGGTTGAAACGGCGGAGGAAAAAGGGAAGACGATTGTTGAGGAATCAAAGAAACAAGGAGCAGGCGTTTTGGTTTTAGGGCAGAGAAAGAGAACCTCGAAGTGGCGCGTGATATGGAAATGGCGTACCAAGGGAGGAATGGGAGGAGTGGTCGAGTATTGTATACATAACTCCGATTGTATGGCTATTGCCGTAAGGAAGAAGAGTAACAATGGAGGTTACTTGATCACCACGAAACGTCACAAAGATTTCTGGCTCTTGGCTTAATTTTTTATTTAACACACATTCATCCCAATTTTTTTTTTTTTCTTTTTTTGTAATCGAAACGGATCTTTTTTTTAAAAAATATACATGTTTTATGGATGATTGATGATCTGTATTCGTTATAAGACATTTTTCATGTAAAGACTTTATATTTGTCAATGTGTGTTATTGTGTTCAACCTCAAAGTATATGAAAGAATAGTAAACTAAGCAGAGATTTATCAAAAAGAGACAGAAATATAACAGAGAAAGAAGTGATCACATAGATCAAAATAATTTTATTATTGGTGTTTCATATGAAGTGTTCTTATTATAAATATTAAAGTTTCATCATATATGAAATATAAAGTCGAAGTAATGTATTATTACTTCAACATATAACGTTCATACGCTCCAAGATGATTACCAAATCCAATATCTCCTCCTCCACGCCCGACTTGAAACCGGTAGACACATGCTTTGGTGACGGCTCCAACGGTAACGACTGTAGTTGTGACGGCGGTTATTGTGAAACTGGCGTTGATGCCTATAATAGCTAGAATACACAGAACAATAATAGTTAGGAGACCCATATGATTTGATTTATCTCTTTTATTCTTCTACATTTCTTTGTTCATGAGTAGAATTATATATATATATATATATTCTTCTATATGTCTTGTATGGAATAGTAGAAGTTATTGGAACAAAAAAGAAGGGGAGGTCAAGATTTGAATGGCTGGTTTATTGATATATATCAGTTCAATTTCCTTGGACGTATCGAAGACTAGAGAATTTATTGTAATGTAATACTAATTCCCTTTGAAACTCGTTTCGGGTTTCTAAGCAAACTTTAGATAGACTACTCTTGGGTACTCTTTGAAAGAAGACGTCTTGGGAATTTGAATACTTCTGTTTATAATCAATGAACGACAAAGAATAGTTTGTACTAAAACTTGTTCCTCAAAAAAAAAAAAAGGTAAACCGTTCTCGACTTCTCGTAGTGATATTCAACGCAAAAAGATTTCTATCTGCCTATTATTACCCTGTCATTAGTCGTTAAACTCATAAGAATAAAACGCCAAAAGACATCGTCGAGCTCACAATTCGGTAGACCAAATCCAACTGAGAATTGGCAAGATAATCAGCAACCACATCTCTTTGCATACCCGGAGAGAGTCTATCTGTGGGCTGCACCTCTCCCAGGGGATTAGTCTGGACCCCTCCATAGATCTGGGATTCCCCTGAGTTATCAAAAAAAAAAAAAAAAAAAAAAAAAAACCACATCTCTTTGCAAACAAACTATTCATGCAAACTGGCTTGCAAGAGTATCCTCGTGAAGCTAAGATACAACTTTGGCTCTTGTGCTCGTTTTGCATGTCCCATTTCTTTATTTTATGAAATGTTTTTAACGTAAATATTTTTGTAGAACAATTATATTCACATTTAAAAAAGACATCACATAAATGAAAAAAAGGTGATACACTTCATAAATCTCATTACCAATATCAGTATCCCCTTTCACTATATTTTTGTAATTGGAGGTCGTATTATTTTGATGCAGCAGAAAATTTAAATTTCGTACGTGGTTTATGGTTGGCCATTCGTCATGTCATCTTGAAATTTAACAATTTAGGATCGATGAATATTGAACATAAGAAGCAAAATAGATTAATTTTTTTTTTTAACATAACATGGTACATATAACATAACACATAAAACCTAGCTAGAATTGTTATTATTCTTCTTATTAAAGCTTATAACATAGACCCGGAAATATTAACCCTACATACTCAAATATTCATTTGTTACGCATGTTTCGAAAATACCCTTTCGGGTCACTTTCGAAAACCTCCCTAAAAATTCGACCATCCTTTCCTGGTGCCTTCATGGTCTTCTTGTTGGGGCCTGAACCCATTCCAGAGAATAGACCGGCAATAGCTCCGACGACACCTATTACCGCCAGGGCGGTTCCAAGAAATGACGTGCCTTCTTTGTCGTTGTTGTTATTGCTGTTGTCGCTCATTTTGATATATTTTTGATAATCACAATTTTTTAGATTCTACTTTAATTTACTTTTGGAGAGGAAGTGTTACATGTGATTTTTATAGCTGTGGATGTGATCCCAAACGATTTGTTAGATGAATTAAAATCTTAGTTCAATTTACTAGGAAGAGATCTTAATTACGATTTTGTATGAGAATTTAATGGTACAGTTCGGAGTTGATTGGCATTTTCTAGGTATTGGATACAATACTTCATAACTTCAATTGGGAATTGAAACCAATTTAAACGTACCTGGTCTATAATTATCTCCAAAGGTGATGAATTATATTTGCATGTGAAGATAAATAATGAAAATTTACGATAAATTGTTCTTTTTAATTATTCTTTTCTGTATGTTGTGATGATATGATGATTATAGTATGACATTGATAGCATCATGATGATGATGATGATGTTATGTTTATGATGAATATAATATACTGATGATGGAAATGTGATACAATAATGATGTTTATGTTAATGTATATATGAGGGAAAAAGAAAAACCAGAAATCTTGAGAATCTTTGTTTCACTTAAAAAAACTCAACTAAAAGTCAAGAATCTAGGATAGTCCAAAATTGATATGAATGATGATCAAATTGAGATTGGTCTGTCTCGTTCTTTTGTGCCCCTTCTGGTTTGTAATCTGGTTAAAATAGGCCTAGCTTGTTTATTTGTGTTTGCATGTGCATTTATGTTTTCTTTAAATATTAAACATTTTTAGCAAATATTATTTTCTTAGTTGCAAATGTAAACGTCGTTAAATATTTCTACAGAAGAAAATTTTTTCGTTTGTGTATTACTCTTTCTAAATATTTTATAATTTATTAAATAAAAATATCATATTACTAAATAGAAAATTAGAAATGGTACGGTGTTTGAAACAATTGAAACTGTATTCTTTCTTTTGAAATTTTAATTCTTTATTTATTGTTTTTTTTTTTTTTTTTGTCTCTTATATGGGTTTCTTCTACTTTGTTTGGCTCAGTCTGTAAAAGTCCTTCCATACCATTTCTTTTGTCATTTGGCATTTGTCGGGGCTGCCGGAACATTATTTTATACCAAACGAGAGAATTATCAAATTTGCCGTCCAAAAATTAGATGTAAATAAAATGATCGTGATGAGGGCAATACACATCACAACAAACAATTTTAAATTGTATTTTCTCAAAAAAAAAAAAAAAAAAAAAAAAAAGAGAGTTCGTGGGTGCAAGTTTTTCTTAATTTTCATACAAAAATAAAAATAAAAAACAAAGAAAGTTATGGATACAACGAGTGACACGTGGCAACAGAGGTGTGGCACACCAATTAAAAGGATCATGATTATCTATTGTTTTTTTTTTTAATTTACATAATAATACTGATGATGAGCAATGCCAAAAAAATCTATCACCTTCTGAAATAGATGTATCAATCAACAGGACCAATCAAATGAGATTTACCAAACCAGCGATTATAGAAAACGATCGAAAGTGATTGGTAACAACAATAAATCAAGAAAAATCCATCCACAAATATAAAACCAGCATTTACTACACAAGAATCTATACTATAAAACCCTGTAAAAAGAATCTAACCTTTACTTTCCTAAAAGCTTTATCTACATATTCACACAATGTACTATGGTTATTTACAAATAGAGGAAACACTTCTTTCAAGATTTAAGATCTGATCAACCCGAAATTGACGAAAGATCTCGACTTGAATACCCCGAAAAGAAATCCTGTTGGTGAATCTTGAGGACTCGTTTTTGCGTCTGTGTTTCCGCCTTTCACTTGAAGTATTGTCTGACCAATGACTTGTCTAATGGATTCTATGGTCTTTGCATCAACTTGGTAGCCGGAAGCATCTCTCACATAGAATGTGTTAAGAGCTTTGTCTCCTTTTGTTTTCACTTCAGCTCTGGTGACTGTAAGACTGTTTTCGCGGAAAATCCGAGTAACATCCGAGAGTAACCCGACTCTATCTGAGGTGCAAAGCTCAAGTTTCAAGCCCTAAAACACATGGAAACAAGAACCAAAATGTTAAAGCCACAACACACAAAAGTTCTTATGATTCTTCTTCAAGCAAATGACAACAGTTTCTACCTCAGAGACTCTTCTTTGGATTGCTGCTTTTAGACATTTGATCACTCGCTGTCTTTCTGCCTCGGATTTGACTGGAGATCCATCCGTATGTCTTATGTAGTACTCCTACAAAAAACCCGAGAATTCAGATGATGGTACAAAAAACATGTAGATCAAAATCAAGAGCTTAAATTGAGCCTAGTGATATATACATACCTGATAAGCTTCGGGGCCTTCAGCATCAATGCTGGCATGTGAAACCACATAATTCATATCCGTCAAAGTGAAGACGGTATCAAAAAGAAGCTTTGGTCTATCTTTACACTTGATCATCACAATGGAGTAATCCAAATCATGCAAATTGGAGACATCCACATCTGGAACTACTCTCCCACATTTATCCTCATCATCAACATTATTCTCCCATTCATCGTAATCTCTATCTGCAAACATCAATTGATGAAGCTTACGGTCCGTGTGAGTGTCATCGAGAGCAGAAGAAACCATGGTCTTCGGTTCACGGAATCTTCTGCCACTGCTTCCACCTGTAAGCACATAACCAAGAAGTTTCCTGATTTTGGACAACCTCTCTGGATCAGTGATTGCAGAGCAGGTTTCTTCATCGGTTACTTGCAAAACCGCTGCTGCTTTTGCTCTATGCGTCCAAATTTCAGCATTTACCACATTACATTGGAGGTCCATAAGAACAGCACATAGCTCAGACAACAAACCCGGTCTGTCAGTTCCTGTTAGCTCAATCACAGTGTAGTCGACAGATTGTTTAACCCCGATAGTTGATCTCATCGATGGACTGAAGCAAGTAGACTCATCAGGACCAAGAGACTGCAACAATCACACAACAAAAGAGTTAACAACCATATCGAATAGAAAACAAGAGACGATAATCGCTTTACTTACTTTACGGATATAATCAAGAACGATTTCATCGGTGACTTTGTTCCCATCTTGATCAGTAACATTGAAAACATCCATAAACCAGCCACCATCAGAGGAGATATAAGCTTTCTTAATAGTGAGATTAAGCTCAGTCAAAACTTGAACAACTTCCAGAAGTATTCCATGTTTATTCGCACTATCCACCTAAAACAAATCA